AGATTAGTGTTCTGCGTCCTTTCTAAAAATAAATTCCTTCTTATTGAAATTAGAGCCTAACTACAATTTGCTCTTTCTTCAACCTTTCACTGACTAGTATCCTCATCTTGGCTTTACAGGAGCATTTTGAACACGGTCAACGTAAGTACCCACTCACAATTTTAGCGCTGTTTTGACCAAAAATGCTGGCTAATATTCGTGTTGGTGTCCCTTTCAAGTTCACTCTTAAGTTAGCGTCAGGGTAACAACATCACGTAGTGGCTTGATTCGCTTTTTCACTTAGAAGCAATTAACCACAGTCACTAACTACTGTGTGACTGCATTTCACCCGTACACAGTATCGTCCTAATGTTTTCAAAGTCTTCTCTTTCAGCTTTCACCACACTGTACATGTACCTTTTATCTGTTTGCAAACTATATGAACTTTAACTCTATCGAGCCTCGGCACGCTCTGTCATGATCATGGGATAGTTACCAGCGCCGAACCCGTGTATCAGACTACCAATCACCACTGAGCAGTATACTATGTGGGTTATTGACCAAGCGTATGGTCAAGATACCTGGATAGTAGCCAAGGTGGTATCTTTTGCGTTGTAATTGACCGAGACGGAATCGAGGTCCATGAACTCGCAAAAAAAAAAAGGACGAGATCAATATCCACCCATCTTGACCGAACAAGCTTGGTCAATAAGGGATTTATGTATGACATGACCTTCGGGAAAATTTTCTTGCGGGACACCGCGAGTAGTTCCGAGCGTGCAAGAGAGCCCCATCTTGCCAGCTCGGGTAGCCAATCACAGCGCAGGATTTGGTTCATCTTGCCCGCTCGTGGAGCTAGCCACATAATAAAAGAGCATGCATCATTTTTCCTTTTACAGTGCCTACGTAACACTATAAACACTATAAGAAAGTAATAGCCCTGTTACAAGCGCACTCCAATGCTGTGTCGAGACACACTTCTCAGTCTGTTACTCGTGCGATGAGTAGGTAGCCGTTGAACATGCTATGAAACCGGCCCGTTCTTAGGACTGAGGAGGAACCCAGCGAAAACGTCTCATCAACTTGATCGTGCTACAATGCAATTTTTGGAGACACATACCAATTCTAAACATTCGTTTCTTTACTGAAAACTCGGCGTGAGGGATAAAATCGCTTTCTTTCTCCAAATACACAGACCACGCATCAAAAAGGTAATTAACAGTTGCCTTTATTTGTTGTATTCAAGTTCTACATTTGCAGCGTTGATCTCCTCCCCCTTGGGGGCTGGGAGCTTTTCAAGTGAGTAAAACACACAATAGACCTTTCCTGAATTCCAACAAACAATGGCGCCGAGTCGAGGTCAGGGTGGACAAAAAAACAGCAAATGTATGAAAATGTCCACCCCAACCTCACTCTGGTGCTATTGCTCGAACGCACTGAAGTGGAATGCGAGAAAGGTCTATTTACAGTTTCCCGTAGCCCTCTGTGCGTTCTAAATGCCTTTGTTATTATATGATCTATACAATCAAGGAATGCGTTGTTATAACTATATGACCAGGCAAAATTTTTGCCCTAAAAATCTTTGAGCCATTTTTAGAACGATAAAATAGATCAAAAGACAAGATCTAAACAAAATCTATATTACTTGCTACCATAGGGCCGGCATAGCCAGAAATTCGCGCCATGTTAATTCTTTCTTGACACTTATGATTCAAAACTTGTAAGTGGACTGGATTTTGTGATAAATCCAATCCCTTGCTCTGATTGGTGGATATTTGTTAGAGCCGTCCAGACATGTGATCATTGTGTCGTCATCCGGGTGATAAAATAACACCAGAGAGCGGCGAGGTACGCGGCGTTTGAGTTGTTCTTCGGGAATAAGCACACGGTGAACCTGACGAGACAAAAGAAGATTCTTAACACCGCCAGAGCTTTTCCTTATGATTCTAAGTATATCTGCGTTCATAAATCATGGAGATGGAAGATAAAGAACAATATCTGCACCACCAGACTAATTAAAACTCCAAGTACAAAGATACAAGAGGTAGCATGCACTTTTTTCAACCAATAGTGACTCACTGGCACTCGCTTTCCCGCGCTTTGTGTCAGCCACATGTAATTACTTCGAGTTTTGATTGGCTCACTGGATTGTCTGTGTCCTTTGTGATCGGCTGGAGTGAATACTTTGGTTTTGGTTTTACGACATTCTTGAAAATTTCTCTAGGCGTTGGTACTTATTACTTAAACTGGTTTTCTATTGTTACTTCTGATTGATTAAAGAGCGTTGCGTAAGTTTTTTGAACGAATTAGAACAACTTTTTCTTGGACCCGTGGGTTCTCTTTGTAAAGTAGGGGATCAAATATTGTCTTTATCAGGTCTTATAACACGTTAATACGTTTTTGATTAACTCTTTAATTTTATTTTTTTTCTGTATGCGGACCATTTACACTGTCCCTGAGCTTTCCGTAGCCGCATATCCTCGCATGCGCAGTATTTACTTTAGGCTTTATTTGCAACATACCACAGATTTGTATGTATCAGCGGTCCATCGCTGCATCAAGTCATCAATGTTCACCAATACTGTTCCTTTCATGGGTAGTGCAGGTACAAATTGTCCATTTACGTTAGTAACCTGAATCAGATAAAAATGTTATACTAATTATCGCAGCGCAAGCGGAAGTAAAGTAAATGGCATCGGGCGCAAAAGAAATGGTCTTTTTAGCGGCCTGATGGCACTGAAAATATCTAATGAAATGACAAGTTGTGTAAGAACCTGTGGTGCTCACATACTTGCCTCGAAATTTTAAGCAAAATGTATATAGGGCGATCATTGCTGATGTCATTGTTTACATTTTGCCTAATTAGCATACGACTTAATGTGGAGAAGGCATCCTGGTAAAGTGTGCATCGAGCCAAGTTGCCCATCAGGCCCGAGTTCTGTAGCATGAAGCGACTAGGAGTATTTCTACTCCCCCCTGGATGACATGCTAGTCCATCGCAGGGTTACCCACCAGCATTATGTTCGCCGGTACCCATTTATACACCTGGGTGGAGAGATCTTGCCCAAGAACACAACACAACGGTCCCCACCCCCAGCGTTTTTGACATGTTGCCCTAATAACGCCCGGTAGCTACAAGTAGTTACGTTCCTGGGTGAAGGGTAAAGTCATTGTGAGAGTCTTATGGCTTAAGTAACACGACCCATCACTGATGCAGACCATCCTAAGACATGTACATTAAAGGTTGTGCTCCTAGAATATAGAGAAATCCATTTTAGACACTTCTGACGTATTTGGAAAGATTCGGTCGTTGGGTGCCCCTGCTCTACCATATAAAGACTTTTTCTCAACCCTAATGGAAAACCAAGAAGTGAAAACTGGTGCACGACAAAATCACAGTAAGTGTATTCCTTTACATGAATATCCCTAACCTCAAGTCCACCAACATCATCTTGAATCAGCAGTGTAATTCCTCCATAATCTGTATGTTCCCCACAGCGTATCTGGCCTGGCTTGATTTGACTGGGATCTGTTATCATTGGGTAGTAAGTATACCTTAACTGAGCACCACCTTCTGACGTACCTCTCTTTTCAAAGGCACGTTCAAATGTGTCGGGATCCTGTTTGAAAAGACAAGTCTTAAATGGATGATGCTACAGATACTTGCACACGTCTCAGTTATGAAGGAAACAGTTACTATGATTCTTGCTTACTACCGCACTACATGTACAAGAAAGCAACTCAACTAGGAGCGGAGAGTTTAAGCCAATCATTTTCACCGTTTGGTAACTTTCTTTATTCCTATTAAACTGACATATTTCGACAACACGTACAACTGAAAGCAAAAGAAAATCCCCATCTACGTACAGTTGAACTCCGCTATTTCGAACTCTCAGGGGAAACGAAAAATAGTTGGAAATAGCGGAAGTTCGAAATAGCCAATGGTAAATGACTGAAGGTTAAATCCAAGGAAAATGGTTTTGAGTTCGACATAACGGGGAATTCGAAATAACCGAAATCGAATTAGCTGGGTCCACGTGTATATGCAGTAGGAAAATGTTCTCCTTCAGCGAGTCAATTGACCATAACATTCAGTCATACACAGAATGTGACGGTTGAGTTTTCCACTTGCTGGCAGACTCTTAGAGCTCTTTTTTTTCCCTTAAAAAATTCCGAATAAAAGAGCTCCCCAGCTGCATGGTAGTCTTTCATATCCAAGTAAGAAAAGAGAGATTCTGAGAACCGTGGCCAGCCAGTGCGTCACTTGGTGATGCAGTAGACAGGATAAGTGTGATAATGATATTCACTTCGTCTAGGGTTGTGGATTGTATATATCATTACTAGGTATCCGCCCCACAGCTTCAAAACTTATGTGGTAATAATTAGCATGGACAAACCATTTGCAGACCAATAGCCATGACAGAGAGCATCCTTGAACCAAGGTCAGTGACGTACTTAAAAATAGTTTTCACTGTGTTCTGGAAGTCTGGTACTTCTGCATTAGGCCATTCCTATAATGGAAGAATAATTCAATGCTTGGGTTTTAGTATTACTTGTAGGGTAGATTAATTCTTGGTACTTCCAATTGAAGTAAAAAGTAAAACTCCATACAGCTTCTGACGCTTCTGTGTGAGGTAACCCTCTCAGAAAGAGAAATTTGCCATTATTAGGTAAAAAATCATAGAGAGCGACTCACAACAATGCGGTACTGTTTTACGACAGGAATGAATTGTAAAGTTCTGGAGAGGTGGTGACCCGTTACTGTCTTATGTTAAGGGCTCTACTCTCACTTGGCTAAACGATAGTAGCAAATTCAAAACCGTATTAAAAAAGACTCTAAGAAGAATAAGGGTTGACTTGTCGAGAAAAGAGAACAGAAGGAAAGCCTCCTTTGCAATTGCGAGTTAAGATCGTTCAAGGACACATTCTAGAAACATTTTGAAACTTCCCCCCACCTCCTAACTTTGTTGAGGAAGACGAAAGTCTTTCTCCCAGTTTCCCTTGCGGGGAAGAGTGATCCTCACAGCTCAGGTTTGTGAAACGTTCCTTTCAAAATGAATCATTGAACATTTGAAATTCACTCTAGTTACTCTGCAGGCAGTCAAGCTGTCAATCTCGATCTTATTTAATGAACAAAGGAAAGGACAATTATACTTACAAAATCGTCATCATCGAGTATGGACACGTCAAATGACTCCTTCAGATCTCCCGGTCTCTGTATATTAGTGCTGTATCGTGTATTGACAGAAACGTTTTGTTAATTATTGTTCAGGATAGAACACTAGCTAAGGCATGGAAAGCTGAGAAGGGCGAAGAATTTAGTCCTGGCAAGAGATTATCAAGGTACCTTGACAATCTCTGGGTACTGGCTATGTCACAAAGGATGTTTTTAGAGCGACCTATTTACGACCAAAACGGCTGAAAAACTCTACCCTTTGGGGGCGCACATACCTATACAGTCCATATAAGGGAGTACCTAGCCCGCCGGGTCTTTTTCACGAATCTTAAATGTGAGTTGTATGTATCCCTTTGCCGAGTGTCACAAGGTTATTTTAGATCTTTTAGTAGCTGTTACATTGATTCATTTCAGTTCATTTCATTTTTCACAAGCAAGAGTTGTCGTGGCTGTCAATAAAACCAGGAACATGGAACATTCCGGATCATTCCGGAACATCCCGGAACATTCCGGAATACCCCGGGACATCGAATAATTATCATAATTGTGCGAAAAATATGTAGAATGAAATTTTAAATAATTAAATCAAACAAAAATAAACTGGTATCAGCTCGGAAAATAGAAACAAAACAAAAACATAAAAAAAGGAAAAAAGAAAGAAAAATGAAAGTCACTGCAATAAGTGAAGACTAGCAACTAAGAAGAGTAATCCATTACATCTAGTCGTTCGCCGTCAGTTTAATCACGTGACTGTCCTTTATTCCCAGATTTCGTTCTTCACAGAAAACTAAGGTGGTGGCGTTCGAACTCCTTAATCAGA